AGAGAGAGAGAGAGAGAGAGGTTTGTTGACGAGAGTCAACTGGGTTTGAGTGGTTCAGACTATTTACGTGCAAACTGGTGAGAACAGTTGTATATACTTTGATTGATTTGAGGTTTGAGTGATTTGGATATATCGGTCTGACCCAAATTCCTCTCATCTTTCTACGTCATAGCCACATACTGTTTTGCATGAAGCGTCATGTTCCACAATCATCACCCCCATGCACCCCCACGCCATATACCCATACCCATCTCTCTCTCTCTCTCTCTCTCCCTCTTCCCGCATACATGTCTATACACAACAGTATAGATACATATATAGGTAAGCTACTAAGCTTTGAGAATATATATATAGAGTGTTTGTATGTACATCATACTTGAACTACATGAATAGAAGTTCAAAAACAAAACTGCCGATGTTGGTGAAATTTCCTTTTCGGGTCAGATACACTTGATTCGTGTATAAAGGGGAAGATAACATTTTTTTTGTGACAGTACAATGACACATATTACGTTACACATTACATACTCATATCGGTGAATCGCCAGCCATCCGAGTCCCATGTGAGAGAAGGTCCCGTATGTTCATAGTTATTTATATAAATCTTGTATGATTAAGCCTGCTTAAGGACCATCTCAGGTGCGAATCTGAGTCTCACGTAAGAGAGGATCTATAAAGAGAGAAATTAAAGGATTTCTTTTAATTCTTTGGGAGAGAATCCTCTTTCACCTACCTAGATTCATTCTTGTTGATGATTGTGTCCTTTTGTTTGACTATAGATATTGGTGCTAAGCAGCATAATAAGTTTAAGTAACAATTTTTATATAGAAAAATAATTTTTTGTACTATTAAATATTTTTTTATGGTGAATCTTGATTTGAGTAGTTTATAACCATTAATCACAGTAGTGGAGCCAAGCTTTGGCCCAGGGGGCATGGCCACCCCTCATTTTTCTAAAATTATATTTTATACCTCTTAAATTAGTTCTCTTAATTTTAAAAATTATAATTTAACTCAAAAATTATATTCTTATTTTTCACTTTACATGACCCCCTCAAGGTATCAAAGTTATACTCTACATCATTAAATTATGATCTTGGTTTTTGGTTTACCCCTCAACTATCAATTTAAACACATTGTACCCCTAAGTATTTAAAATAGTCCTGTGAGCTGCCTTAGTTTAAAATGCAACTATTTAATCAAAATTAAGATTTAAAAATTCGTGCAAAAAGTTAGCAATTTGAATGGTAAATAGTGCAACGACTTCTCAATGGTAAATAGTCTTGCATGTAATTGATTTAAAAATAATAATTAATGTTNAGAGAGAGAGAGAGAGAGAGGTTTGTTGACGAGAGTCAACTGGGTTTGAGTGGTTCAGACTATTTACGTGCAAACTGGTGAGAACAGTTGTATATACTTTGATTGATTTGAGGTTTGAGTGATTTGGATATATCGGTCTGACCCAAATTCCTCTCATCTTTCTACGTCATAGCCACATACTGTTTTGCATGAAGCGTCATGTTCCACAATCATCACCCCCATGCACCCCCACGCCATATACCCATACCCATCTCTCTCTCTCTCTCTCTCTCCCTCTTCCCGCATACATGTCTATACACAACAGTATAGATACATATATAGGTAAGCTACTAAGCTTTGAGAATATATATATAGAGTGTTTGTATGTACATCATACTTGAACTACATGAATAGAAGTTCAAAAACAAAACTGCCGATGTTGGTGAAATTTCCTTTTCGGGTCAGATACACTTGATTCGTGTATAAAGGGGAAGATAACACTTTTTTTGTGACAGTACAATGACACAGATTACGTTACACATTACATACTCATATCGGTGAATCGCCAGCCATCCGAGTCCCATGTGAGAGAAGGTCCCGTATGTTCATAGTTATTTATATAAATCTTGTATGATTAAGCCTGCTTAAGGACCATCTCAGGTGCGAATCTGAGTCTCACGTGAGAGAGGATCTATAAAGAGAGAAATTAAAGGATTTCTTTTAATTCTTTGGGAGAGAATCCTCCTTCACCTACCTAGATTCATTCTTGTTGATGATTGTGTCCTTTTGTTTGACTATAGATATTGGTGCTAAGCAGCATAATAAGTTTAAGTAACAATTTTTATATAGAAAAATAATTTTTTGTACTATTAAATATTTTTTATGGTGAATCTTGATTTGAGTAGTTTATAACCATTAATCACAGTAGTGGAGCCAAGCTTTGGCCCAGGGGGCATGGCCACCCCTCATTTTTCTAAAATTATATTTTATACCTCTTAAATTAGTTCTCTTAATTTTAAAAATTATAATTTAACTCAAAAATTATATTCTTATTTTTCACTTTACATGACCCCCTCAAGGTATCAAAGTTATACTCTACATCATTAAATTATGATCTTGGTTTTTGGTTTACCCCTCAACTATCAATTTAAACACATTGTACCCCTAAGTATTTAAAATAGTCCCGTGAGCTGCCTTAGTTTAAAATGGAACTATTTAATCAAAATTAAGATTTAAAAATTCGTGCAAAAAGTTAGCAATTTGAATGGTAAATAGTGCAACGACTTCTCAATGGTAAATAGTTTTGCTTGTAATTGATTTAAAAATAATAATTAATGTTTTAATTTTTTTGAAAATTAACTAATACTATAATTCGTCGTGCGAAACTTACTTTCACAGTTTCTATACAACAAAAGACTTGATGCTAACAATAGCTTATCGGACCCCTTTAAGATAAAATCTTAACTCCGCTTTTAATTAATCATAAAAATAATAAAATAATTTAATATACGCGTTGTACTTATATTGAATAAAAAAATAAAAGTATGATATCGAAAAACTATTTTATTATACCTAAAGCTCGGCCCATATGTTGTATAGAATTCTTTCACAGTTTACAGTCCCCAAGGTCATGCCTGGAATAAGTTCAATCGACACTGCTTTTCAATCATCAGTGAACCATCTAATCTATTGAGACTATGCTTTTTTAAAACTGGCTCAAAAAAACAATCATAACTCAAACTAGACAAAGTCATCATAATAATAAGCTTTGGGTTTTATATATGCAGTAGCAGTAGCCACAGCTACAATGTGGCAACATGACCTTAATTTCTACAAGGAAAATAAAAGGCTCATCACAACCCACGTAGCTTTCCTCAAAATAAAAAGGCAAGTGAGACTCAAAAGCAGGCAGAAATTATGAATGATGATATCACCCACATTGGACGCAAATAAAAATATCACAAACTTGCTTAAGCATTTAGACATTTAGATTTGTATTAGAATTTGATTTGAGTTCGAATAATTTGATATGAATAAATTTTTTTATCGATAATTCATACCCGAATTCAAATATATTATCTTATATTTCATGAATTATAATTTGAATATAACTATATCTAATTTGATTATGACCCAATTCAAAATTTGTATATATTTTTATACAAATATTANTTTATCGATAATTCATACCCGAATTCAAATATATTATCTTATATTTCATGAATTATGATTTGAATATAACTATATCTAATTTGATTATCACCCAATTCAAAATTTGTATATATTTTTATACAAATATAAAAAAAAAAAAGTGATTATTTAAAAAAATATAGTTAAAATTTAGATACAATTTATTAAATTTTAGTTAAATTAAATTATTTAAATCAAATTTTTAGATCGTCAACTGATTCTTTTTTGAGATCAATCGAAATCCAATTCAAATTTGATCTGTTTGTCAAACACCGACATAGAGGTACACATGTTTCTATATGGTTTACCTAATAAAATATCAACCAGAGGCGAATACCATTTAGAAGTGAATACCATTTTGGACGTATGTGATATCATTTGTAATGCTCCAAGTTTAGTACAAGTTTCAATAACATGATTTGAACCAAAATTTTTAACTTAACTTCTTAATGTAAACCATTGTAACCCTTCGACTGGGTAGTGAATCGCAACCAATATTAAGGTCTATTGCCTATTCAATGATAGATCTAACAACTCGAGTTCATCAAAGAAACTGCACTCTTATCCTTATTTTTTATTTTGGGGGGAGGGAAAGGAGGAGGGAGAGGAAGAGAGACACTTAAACCCTTAACCTCAAGAAGATAATACTTTCACAAAGAATAACATTGTACCAAATCTACAAACAGTTCACTAAAAGTGGCTTGTATTCCACACATATATTAGTCCATTCATTTCCACACTGTGAAACAACCCATGGAAGACAGTAACAAGAAAGAAACCAAAGGCCTAGGAAGAGAGAGAGAGAGACCAAGTAAAAAAGCGACGAGTTCCTTCAACTTCCACCATTCTTCTAAATCTGCAATCCCAAAAGAGAATANCGAGTTCATCAAACAAATTGCACTCTTATCCTTATTTTTTATTTTGGGGGGAGGGAAAGGAGGGAGGAGAGGAAGAGAGACACTTAAACCCTTAACCTCAAGAAGATAATACTTTCACAAAGAATAACATTGTACCAAATCTACAAACAGTTCACTAAAAGTGGCTTGTATTCCACACATATATTAGTCCATTCATTTCCACACTGTGAAACAACCCATGGAAGACAGTAACAAGAAAGAAACCAAAGGCCTAGGAAAAGAGAGAGAGAGAGAGAGAGCCCAAGTAAAAAAGCTACGAGTTCCTTCAACTTCCACCATTCTTCTAAATCTGCAATCCCAAAAGAGAATAATTAATAAAACAATAATGTTATTTTGACATAATTTATTAATTTTATCCATCGTAACTGTTGAATTAAACTGACAGTTCAAATAATACTAACTAATCACATGCTAACCTTAAATCTAAAAATAATGAGCGAGTGCCGAACTCAAGACATAATCTCATTCCATCGAGGTAGCTTCAATCGTTCAAAACTCAAATCATCAATATATGGAATTTGGAAACTGAAGGGGAGAGATTAGTCAAAGTACCAGATCAATGGTGATGTCATTTGATGGAGATAACGTGTGCACAAGGTAGTAGAAAGCACCATGCTGGAGTGAGTGGTGGGTGACACCCCACTCATTGGTGAGAACAGGCTGACCAGAAGAGTGTATGAGCACTGCACCATCACCAAAAGCCTCTCTCACATTAAAGGGCCCCACACCCACCTCGAACCCCACATCGTTGATGAACACCGTTGATTTTGCTGGACACACTCGGCCAGATTCTCCCACACCTACACATGCACACACACACACACTCTTAATTCTTACCTCTTCTCTTCCTCCTTCTCACACACACACACGCACTCTCTCTTTCATGTGCATGAGGTCATGGGATCGGATTTTCTCAATTTTGAATTTTACCATCTAAAGAGTCTGCCTTGAAAATTGAAATAAAAAAAAATAAAATTATATTATATTTTTTGATACCGAACCCCAAAATAAAATAATAATAAACGGATTAAACTTTTGAGATTGAAAAATATTTTTTCTGTACAGCACCTCAATTTTTCACCCCTTCAAAATATAGCATGTAACAAGACATTTTTTTATATTATTTAATTTTATTGTATTAATTTCATGATTGGTAATGATAAATAACTCAATTTAAAATGCATAATTGAGAATGAACTTTAGTAGTGTAATAAAATTATTTTTTAATACCATGTAATTATCCTAAATTTAAAAATGTTTAATTTAATGGGATCCAAATTGGTAAAATTGGAAATTGAGAGGATAAAAAACCCTGTGGTTACGTGCATACAAATCCAGTAGTCAATCCATGCAGACGTCAGAACAGACATAGAACAGAAATGGAGGACCAAAGACAAGTCTCTATCCTTGTCTTATTCCTAATATGACAAACATCACATACTATAACGTATCAACAGCTGATATTTCAATCCACATCAATCATGTCAACTTGGATATGCTTGTAAATTTCCTAAATATTATTATGTACCTTAATTTTAGGAAACAAAACTTTAGTATTTACAAAAAAGTAGTAAGTTTGTAATTGTTTACCTCAAGAAGTTTTGTATGTACAGAATTTTAACATATGCAAGGTTCACATATACATATGCATGCCAATTTGAAGAGGATGAAATGAGTTGAATGTATCACAATGTTTTTTTTTTTGTTTCAACAGTTAAAAATATTCGGACCAATATACATTTCCCGAATATATCACAATGTATTTAGTCAGAGGAATATTTAATCCCATTTTCAATCACTAAAAATCAAGAATTCATAACTGACTCTAAAAATTTTCATCAACAATGTTATTTGGCACAAATTTAGTGACTCAGTGGGTCACAATATTTATTAAAGAATCACTAATTTAATGATTATGATGGATTATGTCAACAAATTATATATCGATAATAAAGAAAAGAAAGGTCAAATTAATCTCTTTCTATTACATACATCCTATTTCATATTCTTCTTATAGTGCTGATTTATAGGTTGTAAATGGTAAATTTTGAAGCGAGATTTTCTCCCGGATACTTTTTTTTTCAATTTTTTTCTTAATACATCATCTACGATATGCATTCAAGTGGGATCTATTGTACACAAGTGAATTCTTGACTTATTAACGGTGGATAATGTAACAAAAAAAATTGAAGATAAAATAAACTGAAACGGAACTGAATCGATAAATTATGGACAGATATACAAGTACCTTTAAAAAAGAACATTTCCTCTCCTCTCCTCAAACCATTTCGAGGTAAGAAAATATGAAAGGGTTTTCTCTCTATAAACGGTGTGTTATGAGGTGTGAATCAGTACATACACTACATTAACATGATGCTAGTTGAGGCCATTGAACCATAATGAAAATCATATGAACAGAAAAAAAAAAAGGAAACAAAGTAATATATGACCTAATTAATTACCTTGAATGTGACTTATGGTGGATGGAACACTGATAGGAGTTGAAGTTGCAGTGTAACTTAGCTGCTGCTGGAGCTTCATATTCTCTTCTGCAACCTTCTTTGAAGGGCCATGGCTCATCAACAGATCACTTAGTAAGAGGCTAGAACAATTACCACCCGTCTGATCAGCAACATGGACACCATTTGAAATCTCTGGAAAGCAAAACCCTTGTGTAAAATCAGCAGTTATGGGTTGTTGTTGCACCGGAAAAAAGAAGGGTTCCGGCGGGAAGTCGCCGTGAGTTTGGAGATACGGTTGGTTCACCGGACTGGCCGGAGAGTTGGTAACATCAATAAGATTTCCGGAACCAGTGGAGAAGGCTTTGTCAGCTGACTTCGGTGAAGATTTATCGGATAAGGACGATGTTGAAGATGGAGTGGTGAGAGTGGGGGATATGGTGGTGGTAGGCGGGTGGTATTGCGGTGGCGACTTGGTGGTTTGGAGGTGGCGCTGCTTATGTTTGCTTCTTGATTTTCTGTTCTGGAACCAGTAGAAGACATTGGCGTCACCAACTTGGCCATACTCTTGTAATTGTGCTCTGATCTTTCTGATCTCGTCTCTGGGTGGATTCACCATCCCAGAGTTGAAGATAGCTTCCAGTATCCGGATTTGCTCTGGCTTTGGGTTCCATCTCGGCTTTGGCTCAGGGCTTCTCTCTTCACATCCTGGCACTGCAAAATCAAAACAAAAGGATCACTAAACCTCTCTCTTGAATGAATCTGTTGACACAAACACTAACATAGATTGATCTATGTGATTTTCTGCTACCAGTACCACAGAAAGAACCTTATTGTATACGGGTGTACCCAGTGTACTAGACTCGCCCCCTTACGGAGTCTGAGGAGGACAAACCGCTTATATCTATTTTTTTTTTTTACATTCACAGTCAAACAAGTTTCGTATATTAGATTGCACTTTTAAAATTTGTTGATTATATAGAAGCAGTTTCTCCTACAACCGATGCAATCTCTCTGCATGCGAATACAACATTATATCTGATCTTTTTTGATCCTATAGTGACAGAAATCTCGTGTTTTAGATTACTCTTTTAGGATATTGGGTGATAAGAACATATCAAAGGGGTCCTTGAGCAGACTGTTGGGGTGCAAAGAAGAATTGAAATTACTTTTTAACACAAAAGAGGGTAAGAGAGAGTGAAACATAAGTGGCACTAATGATTAAATAGAATTGTGAAGGCAAAAAAATTGTGAGATTACCCGATGTGAATGGGGCTCTGTGGCAGCCATTTGACACGAGAGAGGAGTTGACATCATGCTGCCATTGGTGGTGGTGGGTGTTGCAGGGCTTGGACTTAAACATACTAGGCCAGTGTCTGTTTGATGAAGCCATGATGGTGGTGATGATGAATAAAGGCCACAACTAAGTTAGATAGCTTTCAAAGCAGCCAACCAGAAGAGAAAAACACAGACAAACCACTCTTTGTTGCTCTTATTTTTGGGAACTGACTGATCATCTGTTCTTATAGCCTCTTCACCTACCCCTGTGTGAAGTTTCACTTTCAATTAATGAACAGTACCTCCTTCCCATATCTCAAATAGAATATAAAAAATTATGAGGGAAAAATAAAGAACAGGTAAAAAAAGACTAAACCCACAACAGGAATCGCCTGTGAAATCAGAAACAAGAATAGAAACGAAATTTAATAAAAAGTGAAGAGAGAGAGTACAGTACAGTCCCATACCCTTCCTTACAATTTTGCATTTAAACTGGAATACTTGTTAGTTACTCAATGTACCAGCCAATTCCCCCGGTAGAGAAGCAAAGAGAACATTGAAAGGAGTACATGCCGGGGCTTAGATTAGAATCTCNAAGTGGGATCTATTGTACACAAGTGAATTCTTGACTTATTAACGGTGGATAATGTACCAAAAAAAATTGAAGAGAAAATAAACTGAAATGGAACTGAATCGATAAATTACGGACAGAGATATACAAGTACCTTTAAAAAAGAACATTTCCTCTCCTCTCCTCAAACCATTTCGAGGTAAGAAAATATGAAAGGTGTGTTATGAGGTGTGAATCAGTACATACACTACATTAACATGATGCTAGTTGAGGCCATTGAACCATAATGAATATCATATGAACAGAAAAAAAAAAGGAAACAAAGTAATATATGACCTAATTAATTACCTTGAATGTGACTTATGGTGGATGGAACACTGATAGGAGTTGAAGTTGCAGTGTAACTTAGCTGCTGCTGGAGCTTCATATTCTCTTCTGCAACCTTCTTTGAAGGGCCATGGCTCATCAACAGATCACTTAGTAAGAGGCTAGAACAATTACCACCCGTCTGATCAGCAACATGGACACCATTTGAAATCTCTGGAAAGCAAAACCCTTGTGTAAAATCAGCAGTTATGGGTTGTTGTTGCACCGGAAAAAAGAAGGGTTCCGGCGGGAAGTCGCCGTGAGTTTGGAGATACGGTTGGTTCACCGGACTGGCCGGAGAGTTGGTAACATCAATAAGATTTCCGGAACCAGTGGAGAAGGCTTTGTCAGCTGACTTCGGTGAAGATTTATCGGATAAGGACGATGTTGAAGATGGAGTGGTGAGAGTGGGGGATATGGTGGTGGTAGGCGGGTGGTATTGCGGTGGCGACTTGGTGGTTTGGAGGTGGCGCTGCTTATGTTTGCTTCTTGATTTTCTGTTCTGGAACCAGTAGAAGACATTGGCGTCACCAACTTGGCCATACTCTTGTAATTGTGCTCTGATCTTTCTGATCTCGTCTCTGGGTGGATTCACCATCCCAGAGTTGAAGATAGCTTCCAGTATCCGGATTTGCTCTGGCTTTGGGTTCCATCTCGGCTTTGGCTCAGGGCTTCTCTCTTCACATCCTGGCACTGCAAAATCAAAACAAAAGGATCACTAAACCTCTCTCTTGAATGAATCTGTTGACACAAACACTAACATAGATTGATCTATGTGATTTTCTGCTACCAGTACCACAGAAAGAACCTTATTGTATACGGGTGTACCCAGTGTACTAGACTCGCCCCCTTACGGAGTCTGAGGAGGACAAACCGCTTATATCTATTTTTTTTTTTTACATTCACAGTCAAACAAGTTTCGTATATTAGATTGCACTTTTAAAATTTGTTGATTATATAGAAGCAGTTTCTCCTACAACCGATGCAATCTCTCTGCATGCGAATACAACATTATATCTGATCTTTTTTGATCCTATAGTGACAGAAATCTCGTGTTTTAGATTACTCTTTTAGGATATTGGGTGATAAGAACATATCAAAGGGGTCCTTGAGCAGACTGTTGGGGTGCAAAGAAGAATTGAAATTACTTTTTAACACAAAAGAGGGTAAGAGAGAGTGAAACATAAGTGGCACTAATGATTAAATAGAATTGTGAAGGCAAAAAAATTGTGAGATTACCCGATGTGAATGGGGCTCTGTGGCAGCCATTTGACACGAGAGAGGAGTTGACATCATGCTGCCATTGGTGGTGGTGGGTGTTGCAGGGCTTGGACTTAAACATACTAGGCCAGTGTCTGTTTGATGAAGCCATGATGGTGGTGATGATGAATAAAGGCCACAACTAAGTTAGATAGCTTTCAAAGCAGCCAACCAGAAGAGAAAAACACAGACAAACCACTCTTTGTTGCTCTTATTTTTGGGAACTGACTGATCATCTGTTCTTATAGCCTCTTCACCTACCCCTGTGTGAAGTTTCACTTTCAATTAATGAACAGTACCTCCTTCCCATATCTCAAATAGAATATAAAAAATTATGAGGGAAAAATAAAGAACAGGTAAAAAAAGACTAAACCCGCAACAGGAATCGCCTGTGAAATCAGAAACAAGAATAGAAACGAAATTTAATAAAAAGTGAAGAGAGAGAGTACAGTACAGTCCCATACCCTTCCTTACAATTTTGCATTTAAACTGGAATACTTGTTAGTTACTCAATGTACCAGCCAATTCCCCCGGTAGAGAAGCAAAGAGAACATTGAAAGGAGTACATGCCGGGGCTTAGATTAGAATCTCCATCAGAGTAGACGCAGAACCCTTAATGAAAAAGGGTAGAGAGAGAGAGAGAGAGATCAGCACACTGGGAGGTTGTGGGTGGTTTCTGATCAGCCTTTCTAATTCTTTAACATTATATATGTGTTTCCCTTCATCTATAGAAAGGATTGTGTTTTTCTAACCTGGGTTTTGTTTGCAGAGTATTAATGGGGAGGGTTGAAGGGAGAAGGTATAAACAAGCGTGGGATTATTCTAATGGGAGAGGTTGTTGCAGGAGTAAATATAGGGGGGTGGGCATGGGACCCGGGAGGGGGGG